CTCAATCCCATATTCGTATTCGTATATTGTTACTAATAAAAATTAGTTTCTACATTATTCTTTACTAATAGCATTCTATATAATCTTGTTGTTACTTGATTAAAGTCTTGTCACCACGTAGAATATATGACAGTGAAATAAGATACCGAGGCCTTCACCAACTACGAAAAGGATATTTTCTTTCATCATACTCATATACAATTACTTACTTATAATCTAGCAAATTTATTCTGCATCTTCTTACCGTCGCGAAACACTCAAATGATGCAATAAATAATCCACCGACTCTTAAAGAAAAATCTGAGGCTGCTCTTTGTAACAGAAATAATAACATTTTCTGTATATGCAAAGGAGCTAAATACCATTGAACATTGTACCTAGAAAATTGTGCGAACGAAAATTGGTAATCTAGGAAAGATGGATAGCTTTACAGATGATATTTGCTTGCGCCGTTTTGCAAAGAGAGAAGGCGTTACTTTTAATTTAAAAATCTATAAAGCCAATCTTTGCAGCATTATATCTCGTAAAGTCTTACACAGTAGCATATACTTCATTGTTGTGATCCGTAATCCTTTGCCCTACATTATTAGACAGGAACATATATATGACATTAGCTGTTACACATGTCACAGGTAATATTAATTTCCTGATATCAAATTTGGATGATGTAATCTGAAAAATCTAAAACTGAAATTTAATGATACTTGATCTTCTGCGTTATACTCATCGTATAAATAATAAGTAGCAATTGTTTTTTTAAACCTGAGACTAAAGATTGACTTATGTATAGAGAAAAAAAGATATTGATTATACATAAATATACATGAGAGAAAACTTGTTTTAACATAAAACTGTGAATGTTGTTCTAAAATTACGATGAGAGGATTTGTGGAGGATCGTTAAAGCAGCGGTCGTGTTATAAACAAAAAGTCTTCTATCATAAACGCAATAGAGTTCGAATTTTATAAAAACCGCCGCCAGATTGCCGATTCACTTTGTATGTACATATTGAATAATGTTATCTATCTATCTAATTTTGAAACAATTTATAGATTGTCAAATGGAACAACGACTCGTATATCATATCAAATACTTCTTTAAAAGTAAATATTTAAAAAATTTATTCAAATATTTAAAAGTAAAATACAAAACTTACTCGAAACAAATTAAGACTCATGGAAGACACATGAAATATTATTAAAAATAGGAACATAATCTCAAATCTAGATAGTAACTGTGTGGATAATCTGCGAAAACAAGAAAATCTTACTGTACATACTATACGCATATTGTCAAGTATTTACTAACTTCATAGCTTTTCGTTGAATATTCACAGCGCAAATTATTCCTTTGAATGTTAAAATCTCTTTTAAATTATTATTTTTTAAGACATCGATATTCACAGCTTGTTCAATACGGTAACTGTAAATAGTATGAATAGCATGATTTTTGCATCATAAAATAAATATCATTTTTATTTGTTAAAAAAAATAACACAATCTTTTTTATATTTACAATTTTGGCAGCGCTATTTCTACGCTCGCTTTTACCTTGCAATCTTAAACATTCCACAAGTGTATTCAAAATATGCAATAAGTGTTGCTCCTGTAGCTACCATGGTCATTATCCCTACACACCATGCTACGCTCATATGTAGCATACTTAAAACCAAATATCTGTCTTGATCGATGAAGTATTCCGCTGTGAATAGCATATTATGTGTTCGAGATTCGTTTATCGGTACAACCATGTCAAGAATATACGACCAATATTGACCGACAAGAATAGTAAATGTACTGCAAACACCAAGTGCTAGAAATATTTCAAAGAAATTATTATTAAACTTTCTATTCTGTAATGTTTGAAAATTTTTTTATGTTATACGAGGTACATATATAATTTTATCGTTATTTTAATTTAATTATTAAATTTTTTAAATATAAATATCTACATTGATAAATACATATAATCTATTGTAACTAAATTGAACTGATTTGTATTATTCAAAACTATTACCTACTTGTAAGTCCAATCGTATAACATTTTGCATAATAATTATATTTTTCTACGATAGCGTATTCATTTACATCATTTAATTGATTGTATATATTGTAAAGTTGTGCCAGTAAATCCTTTACCTATATATAAATCCAAAAACGTATTAGTTAATTAGGAATTAGACTAATTCTAATTATAGGAATTAGGTTAATCCTAATTAGGAATTAGGCTATAATTAGGAATCATACCCGAAATTACAAAATCTTTTTATTCGAGATAAAAAATTGCTATTCTGAAGATATAATTTTATAATTATCAAAATAAAAAGTTATTGTAAGTTGCACAAGGATGTAACAAAATAACAGTGCAACGAGTGCAAAATGTATTTTTTCAACATTTTTGACAATCTTATTTGGTTAAAATTTAAACAATTACAAATGGTATCCGAAATTCAGGTACTTCACCCTATGTATTATACATTCAAATATATATTATCAATTATATATTATCAATTGCTTACTTACAACTTTAATATTAACTCCAAATGAGATGTATATTGTTAAAATAACAGCAGAAAAAAATGTGGAAGAAAAAATATGGATGACAAAATCGAGAGTACATCTTGATGTCAAAAACGTAGCACACTATAATCATTAATTATTAAAATATTTGCATTAAAAATTTAGTGCTTAGCATACTTAAAGTTTTAAATTATTAGATGTTGATTTTTTTGTAGATATAATAATATATATAATAATAATTAAATAAAAAATAATAATAAATTGCATTATTATATATAATAGAGGTTGATTTTTAACCTTTTTATAGTTAATATTTGTTATGAAATTTTAATTTATTAATTGTAGACAATTATTATCAGAATATATCTTAACTTATTTTATGTAGTAATAATTTTAATAATACATATAACTGTCTTACCTGAAACAAAATACTAGTAACGAAGATACTAAAGCATAAAATATATTGAAATTGTGCGACTCTTGATTGATAATTGGGCCATAATCCTACAGTAAGTAGGAGAATCCTGTTCAGATTAAAATACTGTACTCTTTTATACTTCATATCTTCACGAGCTGCGAAATACGTATGACTGCGTATGACGAAATAGACGAGTGTATCCCTCCCACCTTTTTTCCATTGATTGATAAAATATTCAATAACTCATTTTCTAGCGTATATTTTAGCGCACATTTTCCAACAGAGTATAATACAAAACAATTCAAAATATTATCAGTGATAGTCGTATCAGTAAGATCAAAATATGCTCAATGCAAACAAAATTAGTAGTAAGATAATAATACATAAGTGTATACTTTAGCGATCGATTTAATAACGAATAAAATTCAACAGTTGTTTTTTTCCATAAAAAAAGAGAAAAAGATATCTTATAAGATATCTATTCACTACGCATGTGTGCTTTTAATTTTTTCCGGAGTTCAATATCATTCCAATACGCGTATTCATTAAGATATCTACGAAAAGAATACCTTGTAGCTTTTAATACAACATGAGATAAATTATCATATTATTGCTGCTTAAATAAGTAATTTCTTAATAAAAATATTAAATTATTTAATTTTATAATTATTTTTGCGCATTCGCCATCTAAGAACCAATATAAAAGTTAAAAATTTAAATAATGCTAACGATACAAGAATAAATTATTTGTTTAAAAATAATATCTAACGCGTAAGTATGAATATAGCAAATTTGGAAAGTCGCGTTTTGAAGCGCAATGTAAAGTTGGTTATTATTATTCATATTTCGAATAAGATAATTTAAAAATGCTGACAATTGTTTTGGAAAGAATCTAACACAATAACTTCTTTAATTAAACAATTTAGTTACACATTCTTATTATATATATATATA